ATTGGCCTTTGTGGCCAGGCCTGGGGGAAGAGGGCTGGCCACGGCCCTCAGACTTGGTCCTACGATCGCCGCGTGAGGCAGATCTTGGGGTGAGCGTTCGGCTGCGTGCTGTGGAGTGCGCGGCGCAATCTGGGCCGTCAGTACGGCTGCGATCCGAGGGCTTTTAACACGGCAGCGTTGCCTCCATGCAGAGCACGGTGGCTTTTGCTCGTTCTGGCTTGTCGAGTGGCGGCTTGCCTGAGGCGCTGGCTGCTTTAACTGGTTGGCCGTCTCCTTGTTCCTCTTCGATGTCGTTCCCTTGTTTCCTTGTTCCTTGTTTCCCTTCGCCGAGGAGGGCTAGGGGATCCGTATCCAGGTTGAGCGCTTCCCGCATACTTGCCCAGTCGCGAGCGTCCGTGAGGAGGTGGATGTTCCTTGCTGGTGCGGGGGGCTTGTCAAGGAGTGGGTTTCCTGCGGGTACTGGGGGTGGGGGCGGCCTAGGTCGCTTTTGCGGGGGGTTCGGGTAGACCCGAACGCCGTCTGTGGGGACGCGCGTTCCATAGGGCGTTCTATAGATCGACCAGGCATCTATCACAGTACCAGGTGGCATTCCAGCGCATAGCTGGAAGGTGGTCATCCAGTCGTCGAAACACACACACACACATACACGCAGCGGAAAACAGTCCGCAGCGAAGGTCAGGGTTGGGAGCCGAGATGCGGGGAGGGAGCTGGGGGGAGGGAACAGGGGCCGACGAGAAATGAAGATGGAGATGGGTGGGCAAGGAGCTGCACAGGCAGCATGATGTGTTGTTATTGGGAATTAGGTCGTTCGGGAATCCCTCGAGGGACCGTGGGGAGAGGAGGAGTGACCACGAAACAACCACCAGGACTCGCCATGACGACGTCCTCGCACCCTTCTTCTCTTGCCTCCCTGCTCCTGGAGCCATCCGCGGGGGCTCACGAGGTGACGGCGCCCAGGGGAGAGCTGCTCTGCGCTCGGGGGGTGGCGGCGCGAGGGCCTGGCGACGGCCGCGACCGGTGCTTCGCATGGCGTGAGGCGCAAAGGCACTCACGGCAGGCACGCGTCGTGCCGACGCGGCGACGACCCCCAGCGCGGGCGCTCAGGGTTTTGAACGCTGCCAGTGGCCCAGGATCGGCGATCATGAGACGATCTGGCGATCGAGCAGCCGCCGATCGTTCAAGGCTGAGCGATCCTCGCGGTGTCAGAGACCGATGCCAGGGCCGTCACGATGCGAACTTGCCGTAGGCGAGCGGCACAAATAGGACACGGGAATACAGCCGGGCGGACATTCGCGCGGCAAGGCTGCCGCGCCGGGCCTTCCGTGAGCCCGCCGCGCGCGGAAGCCACAACGGATTGTCGCCGTGCCGTCGTGCGTTATACTCCGTTTGGTCTTCGTCGCCTCCAGGGGCGCGAAGATGATCGTGCTCCGCACGTCACGGCCTGGGCCGGAAAGGTGCCCTTCTCCAGAGAGGTGGCGTGAGGGTGCGAAGATACCCGCGCGTCGCGCATCGCGAGGCGCGATGCGTGAAGTTAAGATAGGCATGCAAGGTGGAACACTGCCGCTGGCTTGGAGCCAGTTGTCATCGATCCATCCGCGCTATCGAACAGTCGAGATTCGGTGCCACCGAAATGGGCACGGAACGACGGACGTTGTCCATTTGAGAAAAAATGTTGCTTGACACATTCACTGTTGAGCATCGTACCTATTTTTCCGTATCCCTTTTGGGCTTGCCAAGAGATCGTCCATGACCGACGCCGACGCCACAGCGTATGGAGATGGCCGCAATTCGGTGGTCCGTTGCTCCCTCCCAAGATCAACGGCGCGCCCTGGGGGAAGTGAGAAGGAGAAGGCTTTCTCAGAAGGCGGCGGGACTTCTCAGAAGCCCTCGCGCCTTCTGAGAAGTTGTTGGCGTCTTCGGGAAAGGCTTAAAATTATAGCCGGAGTGCAGTATCCCCAAACAAGGTTTTTAGACCCACTGCGGTTTCCAAAGTCGATTGCATGCCCGTCCAGTGCGGGCTGGCATGGCATGTTAAAACATGCCTCCTCCTCCTCCTCCTCCTCCTCCTCCACCTCCTCTTCATCCCGAACGGCATCTCGGAGCCCAGAGTTGCGAGGATGCCTCCAGCGTAACGGGCTGGACCACCTCGCGCGCGGCATTTCGGACCCCAGAGTTGCGACGATGTCTCGGGCGAAACGTGCTGCGAGGAAGTCTCAGGCGAAACGGGCCGGACCACCTCGAGCGCGGCGTCTCAGAGCTCCGAGTTGCGTGGGCCTCCTGGGACCTCTTGGTGACCTCCTGGGGCTTCCTCCCGGGCCTCCTGTGGCCTCCTGGACCCCTTCTGGGGCTTCCTGAAGCCTCTTGGGGCTCCCAGGGGGAGATATCTAACATGTGGCCGTCGGGGCCCTTTAAAATGGCGGGGGGGCCACAAGAGCAGGAAAAATCAACGAATCGTCACTGGATGTGTATTGACTTGACACGTTCTGATAGGGTGCCTCCTGGGGCCTCCTGGGAGCCTCCTGTGAATCTCCTGCGGACCCCTGGGGCCTGTCCTGGGCGTCCTGCGGCCTCCTGAAGCTCTCTGGGGCCTCCTGGGGCTCCCAGGGTCCCAGGGGGGATATGTAACATGTGGTCTTCTGGGCCCCCAGGCTGGACCACCTCTTGCGCAGCATCTGAGAGCTCAGAGTTGCGAGAATGTCCGGGCCGGACCACCTTGCGCACGGCATCTCAGAGCTCAGAGTTGCGAGGATGTCTCAGGCGAGATGGGCCGGACCACCTCGCGCAGGGCATCTGGGAGCCCAGAGTTGCGAGGATGTCTCAGGCGAAACGGGCTGGACCACCTCCTGCGCGGCATCTCGGACCCCAGAGTTGCGACGATGTCTCGGGCGAAACGTGCTGCGAGGAAGTCTCAGGCGAAACGGGCCGGACCACCTCGAGCGCGGCGTCTCAGAGCTCCGAGTTGCGGGGGCCTCCTGGGGCCTCCTCGTGACCTCCTGGGGCTTCCTCCTGGGCCTCCTGTGGCCTCCTGGACCCCACCTGGGGCTTCCTGAAGCCTCTTGGGGCTCCCAGGGGGGGATATCTAACATGTGGCCGTCGGGGCCCCCCAAAATGAGGGGGGGGGGGGCCACAAGAGCAGGAAAAATCAACGAATCGACACCGGATGTGTATTGACTTGACACGTTCTGATAGGGGGCCTCCTGGGGCCTCCTGGGAGCCTCCTGTGAATCTCCTGCGGACCCCTGGGGCCTGTCCTGGGCGTCCTGCGGCCTCCTGAAGCTCTCTGGGGCCTCCTGGGGCTCCCAGGGTCCCAGGGGGGATATGTAACATGTGGTCTTCTGGGCCCCCAGGCTGGACCACCTCTTGCGCAGCATCTGGGAGCTCAGAGTTGCGAGAATGTCTTGTGCGAAACGGGCCGGACCACCTTGCGCACGGCATCTCAGAGCTCAGAGTTGCGAGGATGTCTCAGGCGAGACGGGCCGGACCACCTCGCGCAGGGCATCTCAGAGCTCAGAGTTCGAGGATGTCTCAGCGAACGTGCTGGACCACCTCGCGCGCGGCATCTCGGACCCCAGAGTTGCGACGATGTCTCGGGCGAAACGTGCTGCGAGGAAGTCTCAGGCGAAACGGGCCGGACCACCTCGAGCGCGGCGTCTCAGAGCTCCGAGTTGCGTGGGCCTCCTGGGGCCTGCTGGGACCTACTGGTGGCCTCCTGGGGCCTCCTGGGGACCTCCTGGGGCTTCCTCCTGGGCCTCCTGTGGCCTCCTGAACTCCACCTAGGACTTCCTGAAACCTCTTGGGGCTCCCAGGGGGGATATCTAACCTGTGGCCACTTGGGCCCCTCAAAATGGAGGGGGGGGCACAAGAGCAGGAAAAATCAAGAATCGACACCGGATGTGTATTAACTTGACACGTTCTGATAGGGTGCCTCCTGGGGCCTCCTGGGAGCCTCCTGGGAATCTCCTGGGGGACCCCTGAGGCCTGTCCTGGGCGTCCTGCGGCCTCCTGGAGCGCTCTGGGGCCTCCTGGGGCTCCCAGGGTCCCAGGGGGGATATGTAACATGTGGTCTTCTGGGCCCCCAGCTGGACTACCTCTTGCGCGGCATCTGGGAGCTCAGAGGTGCGGAAATGTCTTGTGCGAAACAGGCCGGACCATCTTGCGCACGGCATCTCAGAGCTCAGAGTTGAGAGGATGTCTCAGGCGAGACGGGCCGGACCACCTCGCGCAGTGCATCTCAGAGCTCAGAAGCTCGAGGATGTCTCAGGCGGGCTCCCAGGGTCCCAGGGAGGATATGTAACATGTGGTCTTCTGGGCCCCCAGGCTGGACCACCTCTTGCGCGGCATCTGGGAGCTCAGAGTTGCGAGAATGTCTTGTGCGAAACGGGCCGGACCACCTTGCGCACGGCATCTCAGAGCTCAGAGTTGCGAGGATGTCTCAGGCGAGACGGGCCGGACCACCTCGCGCAGGGCATCTCAGAGCTCAGAAGTTCGAGGATGTCTCAGGCGAAACGGGCCGGACCACCTCTCGCGCGGCATCTCCGAGGTCAGAGTTTCGAGGATGTCTCAGGCGAAACGGGCCGGACCACCTCGCGCAAGGCATCTCAGAGCTCAGAGTTTCGAGGATGTCTCAGGCGAAACGGCCCGGACCACCTCTCGCACGGCACCTCGGGGCTCAGAGTTTCGAGGATGTCTCAATCGAAACGGCCCGGACCACCTCTCGCGCGGCGTCCCGGAGCGCAACTTTTCGAGGATGTCTCAGGCGAAACGGCCAATCCCGGCCAACTCAGAAACGAGAGTTGTGAGGATGTCTCAAGCGAAACGGTCCGGACCATCAAATTTTTGTGAGGATGTCTCTGCTTCGGCTTCCCTCGGCCGGAGTGAGCTTCTATCACAACAGCACCCCGTTCGGCAAGCTGTTTGGGGAAAAATCCTCTGAACGCTGGGGGGACTTCCGAACCTTCTGAGAAGGCCCGCCCCTCCCCCGTGCTCGCCGCCAACAAGAGGCGCCGGCGCTGCGCAACCTCGACAAGCACTCAAGGCGCGCGCTGGTGGTGAGCTGGGCGCTGCCGGACATCCCCGCCGTGGGCCACCACAACCCGAAGTCCGCCGCGGAGGCCAGGGAGGCGATCTCTGGGGACCGAGGGATGCCGCGCAGCCGTCGGCCACGCGCAGAGGGGGCAGGGGGAGGGGGGAAGGTTTCTTAGAGAAGCACCCCTGTTTTTGTGAAGGCGTGGGCCTTATCGATGGAGGCAAGGCCGGCGCATTCTAAGAAGCGGCCTCTCTCTATGAAGCCTTCCCCTCTTCCCCTTCCCCCCGTCTGCGCGCCGTAAAATGATAGTGAACTCCCAAGAACTGAGTTCCAACATTTCCGATTCTTCCCCGGGAGGCCGGACGAGCCCGGGCTGTTCAATACTCCGGAGCTCTTGGAGCGCATCCCGAGCCAGTCGCATCATGACATCATTCTTCGTTGGCCGAGAAGTCCTGGTCAGTGCCCTTCGCATCGTCCTACCACCTACTGCCAGCTGAGGGATCGAAAAGCGGGAGGCCCCCCCCCGCCCCCGAGCCCAGAGCGATGCCACCAGCGCGCTCAAGGGGCCTCCTCGTTCTGGATGGGGCGCGCTCCTGGCTCGTGTATTCTTGGTGAGCCTCTG